CTTTCCGGTTCCCAGAAAGCTTTTATCCTGTGCCAGTAAGTGGCGATGACAGGGAGTGAATCCTTTGGAAAGCAGGGTGGCTCCCTGCCTCTCAGCAAAGGTAGGTGGAGGGGACAGCGTAACGTCCTCAGTCTGAGTGCTGCCAGACAAAACTGGAAAGGCAGATAAGGTCTCTTGGGTAACGGAAAACTTGGAAAAATATGTCCCTGAAATGAAAATACCTATTTTTAAAAAAAGATGTGGTTATTAGATGAAGAATAATGATTATGAATCATTAATGACTAATGACCTGAAAGAAGGTCACACTTGCAATGATAGAAGATATCTGGCTGGTACAACATTGTGCTTTCTCCAAGAGGCAGTTTGGCTTGAGAGATCTGCATCCAATAGCTGTTCACAATATAGAAAATGAATGTCCTGTCTCTATGTGCCTCCAGAAACCAGCAACACAAATTCCTAATGGCCTGGCTGGCACTTTGCTTTTTTGATTAAATTGCCTTTCATTACGGTTGTCATGCAGGTGATGCTGCCCGTCACTCCTTTGAAAGCAGGCAAAGTGAAATGCGATTGACTGTGGGAAGCATTTTTGCATTAAATATGCAAATATGTATGTATGTACACAAAATTTCTGTGTATGTACAATTGTACTTTCTTATTTCAAAATGAGCCATCCACAAGCCTTACAGGCTGATTTTTAAATTTATTTTATTTTTTTATATCAACCTCTTTTAGTATCTGAACCCTTTGCTGTAGTGGGTCTGCTTTGTTTAGGACCTGTGGCCTGAGTGTGTTTTTAAAGCAATGCAAGGTGTTCCTCTTACACATTCCCTAGCAGGGCTATTTCCTGGTATTCAAAGCAAGACTTTAAAGGTGGGATTGTGTTGTTAGAATATCACTCAGAGGGTGCTGGAATGTAATTTTTTTGAGTAGTTGTCCCTTAAGAAACATCATACAATAACCTTTTCTTTCCCGACACTGTGTGTAGCTGTTCCTTGCAAGTGTTGTGATGTAGTCAGTCACACTTGGATGACTTCTGTAGGTAATTTACAGTCATATCCTTTTTCTTGAGCATGTGCAGGTAGGTTTGCTGGCACAATCCGTTTTATGAGATAATAGCAGCCAGTGTGAATGTACTTACATTTGTGTTCGAACACACATGTATTTATAGCAAACGTTGCTTGTAGAGAACCGCAGAAGAATAAGGAGTCAGCTGACCTCCTAAACAGCAGCATGCATGAAAAAATAAATTTGGAGGAAACTCAAAATGGTCATTAATAGTATGGAGGTTAGACTATGAGTTGTTTCTCCTCAAACAATAGGTAATGGAATTAGTTCAGACAAACCGGACGCTGTGTGCCTTGCCTTATGGACAAAACTTTTTTTTTTGACACTCTCATTGGGAAAGAAACCCACAAACAGTATCAGAACTTAGTTTTCCTTTTTTTTTCCATAGTGTCAAAAGATTAATACAAGTAAAATGAAACTCTTACGTAGCAGTCATAGAAACCAAGAAACATAGAAGTGTTGCAACAAAAAAGGCTCTGTAAAGAAAGATGACAGTCTCAGTTGAAAGTCATGGCAGGCCTCTTTGCAAGATGATTTATGTCCTCATTATGTGTGATGATGAGTAGCTGGTACCTCTGTCACCACAGCTCCTAAAAAAGACTTGGCATGACGTGAAGTGGGTAATGCTTTCCAGTGCTGCCCTGGGTGGCAGGTATGCAGTGGTAGCGCTCAGGTTTTGTTTCCATGGTTGTTTGTAACTGCTGCATCGTGGGGCTGGTCACCTGAAATGAATCAGGGAAGATTATCAGAAGTGAACAAAAGAAACAACCCACCCCTTCAGGCAGAGCTCTATCAAGTTATGTCTTGAAGAGAAGTCATAAGGCTATATGTCCATTGTACTACATATACAAACTACATGGTGTATGTATAGATTTTAAAATTAACTGTGAAGGTGTAAAAATCACTATAAAACATGTTTAAAGCAATTTTCAAGTAGAATAATATGCAAAAAAACACAGAAAGCTGTTACAAAACACATATTTTACAAAACAAATGTGAGTGATCAGGTTGAAAACTAATAAGACCTGATCTGACATATTAGGTACATTCAGGTTTAACTCAGATTTATGTGCAGGTTTGGATATCTAAGTCATGTACATTTAAAGACAAAACCAAACCCAAACTTGTACATGCATGATACTTGGACTTTTTGAAAACAGTATTCGAGACCTCTTTCCATTTTGTTTATCATTCTCATGGATGTATATGGAAAATAAGTGCTAGTTTTCAGATGCTTTTAGCTATGGCATTTGGATACCAACAAGGTCACCTACCTTTCTGTGAGAGTTCCCTGAACTTGCTGAAATCCAGAAATGCCCTTGGGATTCATCTCAATGGATGTGCTTAAAGAAAAGGCAGGCCGTTTTGGCTAGTCTGGTCACAATTCAGAAATGGTTCTTGGGGAAAAAACCAAAACAAAATAAAACCAAACCAAAACAAACCCCACAAAAAAAACCCCAAAATGCAAGCAGTGTCTTTGTTCAAGATCTGGGTATGTCCCTGCTGGTATGTACAACCCAGTATCAGTATTATTTTGCAGTGTGGTTTAACTTCACTTAGTGTATGGCACTTGCTTCTAAATTGGCTTTTGATAGTTGGCCTTAATCCAGGTTGTAAATATTTGAAGTTCCTTTATACAGTAACTGATGAAACTTTTGCTATAATGAGAATATATCTTTATGTTGCCTTTTCCCCTGAGATTTCTGGGGGTTTAAAATATGATATATAAAAATGGTCATACCTTTTGGTCCCCACCTGACCTCTCCAAAGAGTGGTTTGTTCCCACAGTGGGCACTCTACTTCAGGAGGACCATACTGTGCTTTAGCTGTTTGAGAGCGTAATTGTGAAGTTTGGGATTCTTAATTTATATATCTATTAGGATTTTTTGTTATGGTATGGTGCAGAAGGCAGTGGTACTAGGTAGGGAAGGAATAGTGTGTCTCAACTGTAGACAAATATTTGATATAATTTAGATAGTGTTATAGCTTTGGAAAAGTGTACACGTTCTAGAAAGACAGGAATGCATTTATGAAAAATGAGTAATCTTGCAGCTCCATACATACTGATTGAATTTTTTCACAAGTTAGGGAAAAGAATTGTAATACTGTCATCCGGTTACAGTTTCTGTTTTCCCCTCAATAAATGTTTTTTTATCCTTGCACAGCTAAAGACTGTTCTGATGTCTTTTGTTATGAATTATGAACTTGGTCCATTTGGGATGAGAAAACACTTAGCTTTTTTCTGCTAATAAGTGTGTATTTTTAGTTTTATTCCTATAGACCAGGAAAGGGGAAGCAGCCATCTGCAGCTTTTTTCCTTGTACAACATGTGTTGAATTAGTAGGCCACCACAGAAATTTGAAAAGATCTGTTTGGCCCATGGCAAGGAGTTGTCTCATATTGCCCTGCAAAAGAAATGCAGGAGTTTTTGACTGAATGTTAATTTTACTGCTTACCACTCACTTTTCATCTTAACAGCCAGAATTCATTTAGTGACAGGAGAGTACTGTCTCATTGATTGACTGAACTTTCTCCATTGAGGGGAGTTGAACAGGACGTGCTTTGTTAGCACTGATTTGGAAAATAATGGAGATCTTTACCTGTTTTTTGCACTGTCAGATATGCAGGCTTGTAGGTGTCTATTTCAGAAGTAATTTACAGAGGCTGTAGCAATGTTATGCAAATGCATTTTAAGTAATTTTAAACTCAGACTACCATGGTCTCCTTCTTTCCACTTGCCCTCACTAGCTACCAATACTTGTGCAACCACCATGAACCAGTTCAGGAGCCTAAGCTGACTGAAAATATGTCTGTATATGGAGTTTTCAGCTGTGTTGGCTCCCAGACCAGCTCACCAGAGAATTGCATGGATGCCAATATATATAAAAGGCTTATCTAATTCAGGAACTCCAGCGGGGAACTGACATGTCTGAAGATTTGTGGAACTCTCCCCGTTTTGGTGCAGTGCTATTTCATCTCTGTCCCGATATCTCTATTTTCTGGATAGAACAAGTATGTTCTTGTAGCTGCAACCTGAGACAGTAAAAATCCTTAATGAATTAGGAAAAACACTCCTCAGAATTTGTTGCTTTCCTTGGTCTTTCTAGCAAGGGAGAGAATGAAATAAGAGGAAATGTAGCTTTACAGATTGTGTGATTTACATGCAATATGTATTGGAAGACATCTGGGAATATGAAGGCTATTCAGGTAGACTAAGAAAAAGGTAAAGCTGAAAAGCAGCTGAAATCCATATTTTACTACAAAATCCTGCACAGAAGAAAGATACAATGGGACTTGTTTTTAGATTAAAACGTTTTATGCTAGTAATTTGATGGGTTCAATAGCATTTCAATTAAGACTTTCAATTTGTTATTCCAAACTGACCATAAGATGTACCATGCATTTCCTTGTTTGATTGGTGTTTTGATACTTCAAGAAAATTGATGTACAAGTCAATATCCTGCATTCCTGTAAAGACACTGTGGTTTTTAGGGACATATTCAAAGTGATCAATGTTACGTAGCACAGATAAGTTTTGCTTCTATGGCAAGCTGTTCATAAACTTGTTGCTTAATGATTGCTTCACAGAATTTAAGATGACATTGTTATTAAATCTCACCTACTGGCTAACTATTAAAAGCCAAAAGCAAACTCTTGCAGTGTTTGTTGTTTAGTCAGTATCGTGGACCAAAAGAAGCTGCAGTATGACTTGAGACTTCTTTGTGCCTCAAAATTTATGTGAGCTTATTAATGAAGGACAATCACTAATAATAAATTTGTGCTGCATGTACAGCACAACAGTTCATCTCCGCTGACAACATGACTATGAATAATTTATAGATGTAGTTATCCTGAAATTTGTAGGGGTCATTAGCATTTTAATGAAAAAGATACAGCTGTTGTACTAAATCTTCACTTTTTTTTTTCTCCCTCAGTTAAGAATTTCGATCTGTACTTGGAAAGCAGCTGACAGCGTGTGGTAATGTGCTGACTGGCACTATGGGCAGACGGTACCCGGGGGCTCACTATCGGCCAAGCAGCTCATGTATGTATGCAGTTGGTCTAATTTATTTGTTGCTTTATTACGTTTAAAGGCTGCTAAGCCTGTAAGTTTTGAAATAGTATTTATAAAGAATGCTGACGTATTCTAATCAATGCCAGCCTTCCTGTGTGTGTACCCAAATGATAAGTATATTGATCTATGTTTAAACTGCAGAGGTGTTTTCTAGAACTTTAGAAAGCAGCTTGCCCTGTGACTTGACCAAATCTACTGCAGTGTGCTGTGTTCTGTGCTGTGTTTTGTGTTCAAGTTCTCCAGCTTCATTTACTATAGGGTTCCAAAGTTAGCTACTGTTCTTCTTCACTTCCATCCTGGATTTTCAGTACCAGATACCTTCAAATTAACAAGCTAGTTCATCCTAAAATGTCACTGTGCACTATAGCTTCACTTGCTTACGCCCTGCAACTAACATCTCCAGTTCAGATTATTTATATGCTTGAGTTCAATATTACTCACGTTGTTTTTTCCTCTGAATTGTATCCTATTGTATTATATTATATCAACTCTTACTGAAGGTTGTCTTCTGTAAAAGTGCAAAGGCAGCTCCTAAAATTTATCACCTCGCTCCTTCTATCAGCCACCGTAGTGCAGTGGTTTCACAGTGCAGACTGTGGGAAATGAGCTGATGTGACATTGCTGGAGAGCTATGTGGGGTAGTGCACCACCTCCAAAAGGCTGCTGCTGGTCCTCGTGCACTTTCAATTGATCCCTCAGACTGCTGAGGTGAAGTTGTAGTAGGCTAACTTCAGTATTCACTCTTCCTTCTGCTGTAGCAAAGAATATGATCCCACATGGCTTTTCTTGGTGTCAAAGCCGGCTTGGTAAGCTCTCACTTCTGTATTTTTCTTTCTGTTCCTTAAAAAAATTTTGAAACCCTTGATCACTTCAGGCATCCAGCTCCACACATACTTGTGATGACTAATGCAAGGAGGAAACTGCAGTGGGAGTTTACAGCTGTGGCAGGACAGGGACTTCCTATAGTGGCTTTGCCATTGGACATAAGGAGCTGCATGGTGAGATCCTGTATTCAGAACTTGACTTTGTGGGTTTTTTCTAACCACAAGGCTAAATCCTAGGAAGTACTAAGGCATGGTTATTCTCTGCTGCACACTAGTCATAGATGTCATGAAGGTATGTTATAATGGTGTATTAAAGCCAACTTAGATACTATGTTTCCAAGGAGTTTTTTGAGGGATACTCTCTGTACTAGAATGGAGGAAATAAATGGTTGTTACAGTTTTGACAGGTCTTTGATGGTCAAATACTAGAGTACTGAGTTGGACTGATCTGTTGGAATCACTTGACATTAAATCTAGGCACTGGCCTTCCAACATTTCTGCTCGGCATATGGCTGGATATGATATTCACATCCCATGCCTAGGCTTGAAGCTCAGAGCTTTAAAATTATCTAGTGTAGAAGTATCTAATCAAATCCATTCCTGCTTAGAGAGAACAAGTAACGAGCATTAGATTCTTACCAGAAGAGCCTAAAATGTTTTTCCTGTAGTCTAGTTGAACAGTTGCAGAAAGTGAAGAAGTGGAATCATTTGCCTGGGGAAACCCTGAGGCTCCTATCATCTGCCAGGGCCAAAACTTGCATCAGAATGAACTGGCACCAGAGTTCCTTCAGTTTGAGAACAGAGATATCAAAATACCTACTTCATGATTGCTTTATGCTTCTATTAATATAAGTTTTCCCTTTCCTTAAGCTGTCAGGGTTTTTAAGCCAGGAAACTTTCTTTGGTTTTTGCTTTTGTTACGGTATGATTTGTGCAGCTTCCTAACATAGCATAGGTGTTTCAGACATCCGACAGTAATGGTATTGAAATTGGCCGGTATTTGGGAAATGTGGATCATAATGAAATCTCTGAAAGCAGATTAGATCTTGATGAAAGTGCTGGTAAAATACATGGTTTTACTTTTGTTTTCTTTGCATAAATAGTGAGTAATTGCACCGTCTCAGCTATTGTATTACACATTCACAGTTGTTGCAGTCTTAATGTAAATCAAGGACTTGGTGCAGCCTTAAGCTTTAGTCCCTAACTTTATCTTCTGTCTATACATATGCATATTCCTAAATAAATGTGAAGGGGAGAATTAGGTCTGTGTGGAGTATAGCAGTTGTATTGTTTTCTTTGGTGGTAAGCTAATATTTCATCCATTTATAGCATTTCATCCATTTTGTTGAATGATTTCATAGATTTAATTAATATAATAGTGTGTAGTCTTAGGAAAATAGCAAGAGGTTTTTTAATCGAGGAAACACATAACAGTTTAAATAGAAAATGGTTTATTTGAAGCCCAGTGCTAGGAAATGTATTTCCTATACACTTATGGAAGGTTATGAAATAGGGAGGTGTGGAAAGCTGTGAATTTAATGGGTGCCTACTAGTTTAGACTTTTAAAAAATTTAATTAAAGAGCAATGGTCTCCCTTGATTACTGTCAACAAGCAAAGCAGTCTTGGGTGTATCCCTGACTCTGTATAACACTGCTTGTCCTGACTTAACACTCCCTTGTGTGCTATTTTGTTGGTTTTTCTTTTGTTTTCTGTATTTTTCCTGTGAAAAAATAAAGACTAAGGATGTACAGTCTCCAGCTACTGAGAAGCTAGGTTTTGTAAACAGACTCTTTCATTAATTTCTCCCGAGCTTCATTTTTATTTATGTTTTTCTAATGTTTGCTCACAAACCCCACTTTTCTGAATTGACTGCAGCAGCTCTTGTGAAAACGTGGTTCTGTTTGTGTTGTTTAGGTAGCCTCAAATTTTTTCTTTCATACTAAAAAATTTTTCTCTTTGCACAGAGTGAAAGGTTTTGTATGTCTGGAAAGAAACCTTTTTTTTCCAGGATTTGTCCATGCATATATTGTCCGCAGCATAACAACAACAAAAATAATAATAACAAAGCACAGAGTTTTGTGAGAGTGCTTTAAGAAAAAAAGCCCATTTTTCAGAGGACATTGGAAGTGAGATAGTGCAGGAGTATGTGGGTGGTGGTTTTCAGCGCTTGCTAACTTTGGGATTGTGCCAGGGTGGACGTGCAGTCCTGGCGTAGCACGTCAGCATCCTCTGGGAGGACAGGACCCACTTGAACCTGGAACTTTAAGACCAACCCTGGCTGCCCACAGACTGGGGGCAGACCTGACTGAAGTTTTATTTCATAAACTTCTCTTGGAGGGTGACTTTTTTGTCCCAAGCAAACTTTTTTTGGGAAATACTGTTTTTCTGAAGTGTTCATAAATCAAGAATGACAATGAAAGGAAACATCCCTTGTGAAATGGCACTCCCTTGGACTGCAGATGGGAGAGGTTTGAGTGTTGGCTCTTCATGATCATCTCCCATGCTTAAGCTACTTTTATAAATAATTCAGAATGCTTGAGGGCAGAGAGAGAAGGGTTGATTTTATAATTTTGGAGTTTGATTTCCCTCCAGGAACTCAAATTCCTGCTCTACCTCTATCTCTTCAGCTTCCCAAGGAGTGCCCAACTGTGCCCTTCTTTGGACTGGGGCAGGCCCTTGCTGCTGGGCTTGCAAGGGGGCCGTTTCATGAAACTGGTGGAAAGTCTTCGCTTCATTGCAGTGAAGTAAGGAAACGAATGTGAGAATGATGACATTGTAAATAACAGCAAACCACTGAAAGAATCCCAAAATTCTAGTCTTGCAGCCAGTGCTGGTAATTATGTTGCTAACATTAGCCCAAGATGAGGTGATGTGAAAGTGTACCCTGGTGTGGCTCTGTGGGCTTGGAGCCTCTTCTAGAGTAACAGGGAACTCACCCAAAGAGGTAACCTAACCCCAGGGAGGAGTGTATCTGCCGTGCAATTCATGGTAGAAGCATCCCAGTAAAATTCTATGTCTGCAGTATCCTGCCCTGTATCTCCTGACCTTTGCTTTCCAGAGAAAGACATCTTGGTATAAACGAGACTCAAACTTTAGCACTGCTCAGACCATACTCTGCAGGGACAGTTTTCTGTAAAGTTACTTTTAAAGCTCCACATAATGGCTGTGGAAAAGGCAGGAATACAGATGACTGATGGAGTGAAAATTGCCAAAGTACCCAGTGACACACACATTGCTCTCCCCATTAAAGCCTCTCTTGTGTGGTTTCTGCCTTTCCTAGGAAGCTATGTGGAGACTGGCACAAGAACTTCATCAGCCTCTTGGGTGATCCTGGTGAAGCCCCAAAGCATGTGCTGGTGTCTGCAGATAGGAGCTGACTCAGAGCCTGCAGATAAAAAGCTTTCTTTAAAGACTGTGTAGTACTCTGAATGCATATTGTCGCTTCTGTGTTTATTTCTTAGCATAGTTAAATAGTACCCCTATCCCAGAGCTCTGACAGGTCCATTTCTTCTTCTTCAGGGTGGAATCAGAGGTGGAAGCTGAAGGTGTTACAATCCAATTATTAAAATTATTAGAGAGGTGCCTCTGCCTGAATTAAGGTGCAAATGAGACCATATGCCGAAGTCAACAGTATGGATTTTATTTAACAGTTAATGACAAGTTCAAGGAAGGAGAGAGAGATAGGGGAAAGGGGAGGGAGGGAGAAAGAGAGTGACAGAGAAACAGATTAAGTAGAAAAAAGATATCACTACTCTGTAGGTTCCAACGACATCCCGTTGGTCCTCTTCTTTTGAACTTCTCAGTGGTTGCAGACTGTATCTATCAAGTGGTGGAGGGAAAGAGTCCACAAAACTCTCGTTTCATGGGGTTTATATTGTGCAGAGGCTGGGTGGAAATGCCCCCTGTACCTCTCCTGGATGATGTAATACTGGATCATGGGACATTTCATGAGTGAGACATTCTAAGATGCTGCAGCTGTCAGTGTAGTTGAATCGATCCTGGTCCGTTATGGTCATCACGTAAGGGAGAATGTTGGCATAAGAAGGACTATTCTGTCTCATAGAATTTGCCTCTTATCAGCCTCTTCCCTTACCTGGAAGTCCAGTTTGTAGCTTCAGGTATGCAGGCCCTTCTGGACCTGGGAG